TTTTTTTCCTGTCCTGATCCGTGTTTTTTCTGTGTTTTACCTCAGTTCGCTGAGAAGTTCCAGGAGGTCAAAGAAGCTGCGAAACTGGCCAGAGAAAAATCTCAGGAGAAGATGGAGACGTCCAGCGATCAGTCGCAGGTACATGTGACAACATGATCGTCATCTGAAAAACAAACACGCGATCCTGCAGGTTCCTCTGACCCTAATTATTTACTAAATTGCTTTAGTCACAACTTTACATTCATTTGTTTTTGTTTACTATAAATAAAGTCATCCTCATAATCTAAAGCTTGTTAGCTACAGTCGATGATGTGCATCAGACATCAGTGTCTGTGAGTGACGTCTGTTAAAATGTGAAATTGTGTCGTTTTGTCAGGAATCTGGCCGTGAAACTCCATCAGGCAATCAAGCGTCCAGCATCAACGGAACGGATGATGAGAAGATCTCACACGTGCCGGAGAACACAGCGCTGATGAGTGAGAACGACCGGCTGAAGTCTGTAGCGGAGCAGAGGTGAGACGCTCACTGAATCATTCATTCAACTGATTCAGTCATAAAAACAACAGTTCATTCAGGAATGACTCGTGTGATATTCATATTTCTGATATTAACTAACCAGCCCTAAACTGACGTGATCAGATCTGAATCAGACTGACTGACTGATGAGATGTTCAGAGTCATCAACCTTCAGTCACTTCAGTGTGTTTCACTCTAGTAGTAGAGACGGTTAGCTCTTCATCCTTCACGAGCGCAGACGTGAAGCTGAATGCCGTGTGTGTGTGTGTGTGTGTGTCTGACAGTAAGAAGCTGGAGACGGAGCTGCAGGCGCTGAAGGACAGTAACGCTCGGCTGACGGACACGCTGCAGGAGGCCAACAGTAACGCCGAAAGCTGGAAGAGTAAAGTGACGCAGAGCCAGGACGAGAACAACCAGCTGAGGACCAAGGTGAAGAAGCAGCGCCTCCAGAGTCATTTATCAGCGGAGACGCTTAATCTCAGTTTAGTTGAGTTTAACCACAGGGTTAGAGAATCAGAATCTGTAGGTTAGAAGATGTTTGCATTTGCTGTCATATTGAGCTCAGGTGTGTGTGATTGAAAAGCTGTAGTGCTAATGGTGTGTGTGTGTAGATCTCAGAGCTGGAGGATCAGTGTAAGGAGGTGAATCTGGAGAGAGAGAGAAACGCTCAGCTGACGCTCAGAATTCAAGAGCTGGAAGCAGATCTGCAGGAAAAAGAACAGGTGAGTCTTTCTCACACACAAACACTCACACACAAACACACACATACTCACACACACACACAAACACTCACACACAAACACACAAACACACACACACTCACACACTCAAACACACACACACACACAATCTCATGTACTCTCACACACACTTTCACACACACATTCACACTCTCACACACACACATACTCTCTCTCTCTCTCTCTCTCACACACACACACACACACACACACACACACACATACACTCACTCACACACACTCACACTCACACTCTCTCTCTCACACGCACTCACACTCACACTCACACTCACTCTCTCTCTCACACACACACACACAC